TAGCCCCTGGTGTTCTTACTCTTCCGAATTTATGTCTTACAAACATAAAACCACCAAGTTTTAGAACTGGGGTGAATCTCTGAGATCCTTCTACATTAAGCCTCCTGTGCAATTAGTGTAACTAAAAACTCTTTACCAAGAGAGCTCCTAGGTTGCCTGTGGATCTCTGCACAAAGCTCAAACCAGAACACTCGTGAAAAATATAGAAAAGTAATCAAGTGTTCCATCATTCCACAAAAAAAAAATGGCTCAGAGGAAAATAACCTCCGTATGTAGCATTGACGTGAAATCAAAAATTAAACTCATAAAACAAAATGTTCCTATCAAGTGTAATTGAATTTCAGCCTTTGCTATTATGTATTTTAAATAACTTCCCACTCTGAAAGGTAGCCTATTTGAAAACATTCACCTATGATTTTATAAAGAAGATATATCCTAGGCAAGCAAGATTAAATCACTTACAGAGAATAATATCTTTTTCCATTTTCAAAAAATAATTGCAATTTCTAGTGGTGTTCGCAAATCTAGTGTTGGGTGTAAGCTTTAGGAGGCCTTGGAGGAATTTGTGTTACTAAGGGTCCATTCACAAACTGCTTGTCTGTGCTCAAAAGGGGCTCTGGCCATTTCCTCTGGGGACATTATTTCTAGGTAGGCTTTAACAGGGTTTTCTTGTGAAGGCAGATTCTTAACAGAAAAATAGGATCTGTGTACATTAGGTAGTAAAGACACATTTATCTTTGACATAGTGCACTCCTGTTTGTGGATTTCTCTACTGCATTTGACAAAGTAAATAATGTCCATTCCCTTTCAATCCTGTAACTGCTTGGGACACAGTTTCACTCAGTATAGCTGTTTTACCTTCCTCTCTGGGCGGAACACACAACTTGCTAAGTAGACAGGGAGATTCCAAGAGTCTTAGAGTATCAAACTCTGGAGGCATGAGAAACGCTTCTTTTCTGTTGCTGGTGACTTATTCTTACAGACTGAAGCATTTCCAATTTGGGTTGCTTTTCTCAGTAGTGTTGAGAGAGTTTTATTTTCTGGGAAATATCAGTTGCTGGTAAGTATCGTGTCCAGACTGTGGGAGGCTGCCACAGAACTTATCGTAGAATCATGACAGGTTCAGATTGAAAGGCTGAGGGCCGAAAACCATGCATCATTTTCATTTTATGTATGAGAGGTAAAGTGACTTCACAGGACTGTTAAGAGAGCTAAGAATGAAAGGATTTGTGTACTACATTGTGGCTGTCTCTGGCTCAACAGAAATAGCCTTCATATGGGAGTCTGACCCTGAAAACCCAACTAAGCCAAATTCTCCAACTGTCTCCTCGGCCTGCGTATCTCAAGCACAGTTCATATCCCGCTCCACTCCTCGGTGTGTTTCATCACACAGGCCAGCACAAACCATTCTAATTGTCCTCTACCTTATTAGAATGTAAAAGATAGCCCTGTCTGCTCCTTGAAGGCCAGGTCTGCCTTTCTTAGTTTATACAGAGCCCAACGTAAGTGGGCTTGTCATAAATGCTGTTTGATGAGAGCGATGATCGCCTTAGTCAGTGTGGTTGGGCCCTCCCTATGGAGGAGGAAAACCACAGGTTGTTGCTAAGCAACATTTTAGGACTGGGTCAGCTTCTGACCCGGTGTGACCTCCATTTGCGTACTTCATCGAGTTAATGTGTTTTATGGTTACCTCAGGATGACTTTGTTTTTGGTGGCATTGGCCATCTGTAAGCATGAGAAGGAGGGAGGTGATATTCATCTCTCACTTCTTCTGTAGCTTACTCCTTCCCTAAGCAATACAGGAAAGGTGAGGAGTTTGGCTTATTCTCAGCCCTGTAGCTGAGAGGCACTTCCCTGCCCCCACACTGAGCCTGAATGACAGTATATCCCAACAGGATTTTGTGGCAATGGAAGGTCAAAGAAAGAGAAGAAGGAGAAAAGTTTTTCCCTTCTGAGACTTTTATTATTGAATTTCTACCTGCTTCTATATTCTGAGCTAAGGAGCCAATATGACTAATAAAGAACCAGTCCCTCTCTGTCCAGACTATTAACTGTTGTGGTTAACTCACATGCCTTACTTCATCTGACTATTTCTACTAGGATAGAAGTTCATTAAAAGCATTAAAAGGGGTTTCCCCCTCCCTTTTTTTTTTTTTTTTTTTTTTTTTTTTTTTTTTTTTTTTTTTTTTTTTTTTTTTTTTTTTTTTTTTTTTTACTGCTCTATCTTTAATGCTTTGCCTGGTATGTTTTAGATGTTCAATAAATATTTATCTAATACATGATAAAATGGTTTTGTTTGATCTAGTACAAATGTGATTGACTCTAAAATCTTCCTAAGTATTTCACAGGCCAAAGGAACCAAACTGAGGATGGGGTGTTTGAATGTTACATTTGGCTAAGTCTTATGCAGAGATATAGTTAAAGGAATCATCTGTCTATGTGCTTTTTTTTCAAGATATTTTTACAGTGCTTCAAGTTAACTTTGCCAGAACTTAGCTGCTTAATCAGAGCATAGAATCCTGCCTTTTCCAGCTTCTAAGTCTTTAGTGTAAGTGCCTGACTTTTGAGAAGTAAAAATGAGAGGCCATGATGACCAAGCAGGTATGTCTTAAAAAAATAAATAGCTTAGAACTTACACAATTCACCTGGCGTTCAAAATTGCATAGAGGTTCAGTAGCTAAAATACACTGGCTGAGACCATTGACCCAGGGATCCCTGGTTATTGTTACTAACATATTGTATCGTGGGAAAACACACATACGCAAGCAGGGCTCCCCAGAACCTCTTTGAGGACAAAGCGGAGTGCGGTGGGCCGGGAGGCAACAATGCTAAGCTGCGTTGCCTTCAGCCAGAAAGGCTGGGTCTCCTGGGCACAGGCAGTGGCATGACAGGGGCTTGGATGCTTGAAGTGAAGCCATTGTTGGTGCAGGATGCTCATTTGAAAGGAGAATGCCTCACAGGAAAGAGAGCCAATTGCGTGTGGGGGCTGTTGCCATGGTGCTTTGCTATTGCTTTAACATGCTGTACTTGAACTTCTGGGAGTCCAAGGGTGGGGTAACAGAGAGGAGGGAGAAGAAGGGGGGTGGGATGGGCCTGGGAAGCTCACTGCATTAGGGCTCTGGTCTTAGACTTTCCTCTAGCCTGTGCTATCTAATGCTGACATGGGAAAGGGGGCGGAGGAGGAAGGGAGGGAGGGAGGGAGAGAGAGAGATTGAGAGAGTCTACAGGAAGGGAATGACTTTCTCAACATGTCCTAGATTGCTAGAATGAAATGAAAATTAATTTAACTCCTAGATATTTCTAACATGAATTAAAAGATGTTTAACACTAAAATATCAAAACAGCATAGTCATTCATAACCCAAAAAAATTCACCATGCCTGCAGCAAATGATAGCTTACGTTTCCTAACACATTCCAGATCCTAGATTGAAAAGGTGAAATGTGTTTAATTCATTTGTCGAATGCAATCTAATATGCATATTAGTGAGCTGATGCAGTGGAGAAAATGGCATTCTGCAAATGATTTTTTAAATGAAGTGCGTTAATTCTATTCCTATTTGATTGTGAAAGAAGGCTGAATGCATCGGCACACACTGTTGGTGTGCAAAAAATCCTCCAAAAAGCTAGCTTTTAAAAAAGTACTTGTGTTCTGAAAGCCTAGTCTGAAGACAGCCACAGTTCTAACCTGTTCTCAGTTTTAAAAAAATGTTCAGGAAGTAAATGAATCCAATGCACCATCACTTTGAAAACGTTAGAGTGGCTGAGTGCAGAGAGGGCGGTCTCTGCAGTGGAGAGAGGGTTAAGAACACCTAGTTGAAATGGGGGAGGGTAGGGACTTCGGATTTACTTAAATATTCATGGGGCTTCCTCCATTTTAATCTTCTCCTTTTTAAAAGATGGCTGTGTTTCCCAGTGTGGCAACCCCACAGGAAAGAAGAATTGCTCCTTCCTTGCAGAGTTCAGCTGAGCAGGACTAATCTAGAGTGGAAACCCCTTCGGCCACCAGGACTATTCATAATTCATAAGAGCTGCAAACCAGCCAGCTGAATACATTTAGACAGGCTCTTGCTCCTTCGTGCAATTCCTGATTTCATTACTCTCTCTGCCAGGAAAGAAGCAGGGAGCGTAGGCTTCTTGTAAGAATGGAGTGTGAAGATGGGCTTTGTTTGGATTAGGAAATGCCCTAAATTTTGGAGACTTTGTCTTTTATAAGCTTTGATTATTTTACCACTGAACCTGCAAGGCTTTCCCCATCCTTTCTCGGGACTGCTCTCTCAGAACAGTGAATTCTTTCCAAGGGATTTGTGGATTGTGGCGAGGAGAGCTTTCCAAAATGCCTGAGGCAAACTATTTGTTATCTGTATCTTGGGGTTACATCAAGGTGGGTTAATTTGATTCTGTTATGTGTCTTTGATAGAATGTGAAACATTTACATCTGTACGCTTTCTGTGAAGTAGCAAACATCTGTAATGATTTCATTTGTGTTGTCACTGAGCCCACTGAGGCTGCTTAGTGTAAAATAACAGCATGTTATATTACATTGTATGTAAATAGACTGTGCTGTATTTTAATTCTATTCTCTTTATGCAGCTCTATTTGTAAAGGATGCATCTTTTTTTCCTCAGTTTTCTCCTAAACTTTTTACATATATCTCCTCTCACATGGTATTTTCGAGTTAATTTCCAATAAATATATTTTAAAAGTTGTTACATTTTCAAGTGAAATTATCATGACTTCTATTAAAATCCCTTTTCCTACGTTTGCGTCTTCAAAAGAAATCAGATGTTAATTCTAACAAATCTTAAGAAAACCTCTTTTCCCTAAGGTGACGTTGGAATGATTTCACATTAAGGAGGCTTTGTACTTTGTAGAAACAGTATCATTTATTTAATAATACCTGCTCCTCCAATCTCTTGCTTCTTAGTAAAGTTGAAAATATCTGAAGTGATCATTTGCTATTTTTTTAGGTGGTTAACACATTTTTCTTCTTCACACACAGTTCAAGAGAATGCTGAACCGGGAGCTGACACACCTCTCAGAGATGAGCCGATCAGGGAACCAGGTTTCTGAATACATTTCAAATACTTTCTTAGGTAAGATATTAACTGGGAAACCTGTTTCGTAATTGAGATTTTTCAGTATTCATCTCTGCAACCCATCAGTGACATCCCTGTGTGAGTCTGGAATGGGGTGAAGTTACAGAAAAAGCCATTTTCAGTAAGAACTAAGGACAACATTTAAGGTTAAAAAAAACTAGCAGAAAGATGTTACAAAGAGAAGAAAAGATTGAAAATACCCATCAAAGACAGAAGGTTATTATAGGCTAATTGTATTTCTGTGAACCTCAGGTCACCCCTTACCCACCCACCCCCTTCCATCATGGCCAAGACATCTGAAAGGTGGGGTGGGGGTGGGTGTTCAGTCATCTAAATCTGAGGGGCCACCCTATTGGTTCTTTTGACATGGTATTCTTTAAATTCTGCCTATAAGTGGGCTTTGAGCAAAAGATTTCCTCTTAGGTGGTTTGTAAAAGATGTGGTTGGAGAATAACTGTGTGGTGATTTGGCCCAGAGGAATAAGCTTTGGAAATAATTTGACTGTTGCTTTGCTGAGTTATTTCATAAAGATAAATGGGAAGAAAAGAATGTTCACATCTCTGAAAGATTTGGCTTTCTGCAAGCTGCATCCTTATCTTCCCAATCTGATGTTTTGATCTATTGTGCTCTGTTGTCACATTGCTGGTATTTAACTCATGACACTGACAGAAAAGATTTGCATCAAAGATCCTCAACTACTGTCAGGCATCCTGTGTGATACTAGGGATTTCTGAGCTCATGTTTAAAGCCATTCTATTGTATAGTGATATAGTGACCGTATTTGGATTATTTTTTTCTTTAATAAAGATATGTGGGATAGGCGAATCTGTCCTTCAAGGTAAATCTAGCAGATTCTGATTCTGTTGACTTTCAAATACTGCTGAATTATGCTCCTTTACCGAACTCCACTATGCAGGGAAATGACCCATTCTTACAGCTGAACATCACACCTCCCTTCTTTTTGGCATAGCTACACATCATTAAATCCATGAACATTTGCTTTGGGGCCTTATGGAAACACACACCTCTTCTGGTTTTATTTAAAAAAAAAAAAAAAAAAAAAAAAAAAAAAAACCCAACCCAGTCCTGTTTCTCTAATGCCAGAGCAGTTTCTGCTGTCAGCCAATCAATCTCTGATCAGCCCAGTGCAGAGCTCAAGGCAGTGCTCTGCAGCAGACGGGCAGAGGCACGATTAACAAGTGCTTTTCCAACTGTTTCCAGTATGTGGGTGCCTTCGGCACCTGGTTCTCTCCAGCTGCGGTTACAGCACTTTGGTCAAGGAACAAAGGAGAAGAATTTTCATATATCCTAGCTCCAAGGAGACCTAGCATCTAACTGAACACAAAGTGCTATATACTGATCCTTTTCTTATGCATTAACCCCCTTCATTCCTTTGAAGACAGTCATCCTCCACTGTCCATTTCAAATGTGCTCTGCTCTGTGCAACACCCAATTACAGTCGTACAGGGACTGTACGTTGAGGAAAACCAATTCTCCAGGTTAATGACTATGGGAGAGAAGAAGAAAATCTTGATTAGTGCAAGAACTCATTTTTGTGCTCATAAACATTGCATTTTAAAATGCCAAAGCTGGGGTGCCTGGGTGGCTCAGTTGGTTAAGCCTCCGACTTCGGCTCAAGTCATTATCTCATGATTTGTGAGTTCGAGCCCTGTGTCGGTCTGTCTCTGTGCTGACAGCTCAGAGGCTGCAGTCTGCTTTGGATTCTGTGTGTCTCCCTCTCTCTCTGTCCCTCCCCCGCTCACGCTCTGTCTCTGTCTCCCTCTCTCTCAAAAATAAATAAACATAAAAAACTTAAAAAAAAAATGGAATGCCAGGGCTTATCTGTCTTCTCAGAAGAGACTCTCAGGACTGGAATACGGTGGCATGAGCCCTTTGTCATCCGAGACTGTGCAGAAGCAGCTGTCTTACACTTGTAGTCCCTTTCACCATCAGCTTGCCAAGGAAGGCAAGAATTGTTTAGCATACTAATCTTTCTTATCATCGTAGGCTATTAAGTGAGAAAGCTGATAAGATATTAAAGATGAGCTCTCAGGATCAACATTGTGTGTCTCAAGAACAGGCAAAGGTCAACTCTCTCTTGAATATTTCATTTGCCATTTGGCACATCTGTTGAGGAAAACCAATTTTTGGCTTCTCATTAGTCCAAAAAATTAAATTATCAAGAACAAGTTGTTGGGGAAGGTGTTAGAATCTCCATTCTTATAGACTCAGCCTTAGGAAGGTGTGTGTGTGTGTGTGTGTGTGTGTGTGTGCATGCAAAGTAGACCTGATCAAACACACCAGACAGATTAAAATTTTAAATATTCTTGGGAAAATATAGGGAGAAAAAAATCAGTCATATAAACAAAGATACATTATTTGCCTCATCTTACAATGGGAGCACTGGAATAGATGGCATCCAGATCCCTTCCAACTCTACCATTCTAGGACTGTGCTACAGACTGAGTCTTTCAGTTTTGTTAAGACATACCTGGCAGTCTGGATTCTCTGTAATAGACTGTAGGCTTGCAATTTGACAATCCCGAAAAGCAAACAAACAAACCAGACTTGCTTCCAAACTGTAAATGCAAGACATGGAACTCTGAATCCTGTCTTGTGGGTGAATGTCCCTGGAGAAGAAGCATGAATGCATCTTTCTTTGTAAACTGTCAGATCCGCAAAGGACCCTCATGGCCGTGTCGTCCAATTCCCCCATTTTACTGGAGAGAAAGCGGGCTCAGAAGGGCAAAGGAACCTAGTCAAGATTACCTGGCTATTCTGTTCCTGAGCCAGAGCTAAGGCTTTGCCCTCTTGACTCCCAGACCTAAATACCCTGTCACTTCTTTAACTAGGAAAGAAGGCTGTTAGGAACTCAGACCATCACGTTTAAGGGCATTTACATAATAAGTATATTCTTTTGGAGAAAAGTCTGTAGGAATCAAGATTGTTGGACCTAAAAAATAAAATATGTTTATTAACAGTTCCCAGTAATATAAGAGGGTCTTATCAGAGCACGGCAACCATCTTAGGAAAATATGAGAAGACCTTAGCGCTTTAAGTTAAAATTAAAGAGCATTATTACAGTAAGAGTCATTGAATGTTAAAATGCATCATCTGGGAAGGAGGGGATCCTTTACTCCAGTGATCTGTGAAACTTGTGCTGTTTCCATCTAAAGGATGGTGTCTAGATGGAGGAGTTGGAAGGCAGCAAAAGTCCATTTACCAACCAGGCACTTACTGATGCTTATAGGATCATGAGCTCCAGGATGCTTGGAGAAGTGAGAGGAAGTGAAGCAGGACCTACAGGGAGGAAGCATAGGTAAAGCAAGATATCTAGATACGATATTATAATTTAGTAAATATTTTTACAAACGAGAAAAGTCATTCTTTTAAATCCCCTACTGTGTCTCAAAGAGTAGAACATGGAATTTCAACGATGCAAGGAAAAGAATTTAGAAATTTTGCATGATTAAATGCTGTGCTCTAATAAGAAAAACACCTCCAGTTATGCCATTAGCAGAGTTTTGACATGACCATTTTTTGCATCTGTTATTTTTTTTTTATTTGTTTTATGCTTATCCGCTATTTCTCCACTGTATTCTAACTGTTCTGTAAGTGTAAATTCACTGTGTTTATGGCGATTCTTTAAGTCTGTGTTTCAGGTTATTTCTACATTACACCGGCTAAGCTTTTAACAGAGGAATTCAGAATAGGAATAGGGAAGCCTGTCAGTTGTCCCAGTGCCTGTACAGGGAAACACCCATTAGTGTCAAGTTGGTGCTATCTGTGAATAATGACTTTCTTCTTTATTGTAATGTTCCAGACACAGTAGTGGTTCAGCTCAATTACTGGCTGCTGCAAGGAATCTTTAGTTAACACAGGGGAAAGCTGCTGGTCCCACTAGAGCTTTTTACATCTGCAGCAGCATAGGGGAATCTAACAGTCTCTTTAATCAGACATGAGGAATGGCAAAGCACTGTCGTCGGGAAAGGCACAGGCTATTGTGGCCTTTCGTTCTAGCAAGAAGTAGTAATTATTAGGAGTGAAGTGACAGAGAGAAAAGTCATGTCAAGAATAATATGATATATAGTGGGTTTTTTGCCAGAGACTGTGAGACCAGAAAGAAATTTGTAACAGGAACCTTAGGGCCTGGGTTCCATGTATGCTATTAAGTCACTGTGTCTGGAACTGAGTAATTGCAAAATAAATATCTGTTGAATAAATTGCCCTTTGAGCTTGGGCAGATTGCTGACTTCATCTGAAAAGTGAGGGTGTGGGATTATTATTGGTTCCCAAACCTGGCTCTGATCGTCAGTGTCACTTAGGAAGCCTTTTTAAAAATACTAATTCAGTAGGGCTGGGTGGGGCTCATATTTTTCTAAAGTTCCCTGGGTGCTTCTGATGCTGAACCAGGTTGGAAACCCCTAAACCAACTGAAATGACCACTAAAATTCTTGCCTAGGCAAAAGTCATAGACAGATGAGTCTAGGAGCTTCTAGCACCTGAAGATAATAAGGGGACACTAGGGACAGAGAATACCTCTGCTCCCGGTGTTGATGCGTCCATGGCACTGCTTCTATCTCCCTGTGCTTGCTTTGCTTTGATGAGTTGTCCATGGGGCCCTGGAAGCAGGCAGAGGTCTCTGGGGAAAACATGTGACTATGCCATCATCTTGCAAGAGTTGAAAGCAAATAGTCTGGGTCCCAGCATGCCATCTGGAACCATGTCATTTTCAAATAGAGAAGTTGTCTTTGTCCTCATTTTTACTGTAACAAGCAGAGATAGATGCAGGACCTTGGAAAAGCTGCATTAACTCTTTCAGCCACAGGGTGTCATTTAGTTCAATGAAGTAGCTGTTGAAGCAATTTAATAAATTACTGCCTCAGTGCACACACAAGCATCCCTGTGGCCTGAATTTTTGGGAGTACTCAGGATAAAGGCCCCTGTGAAGTGAAATGGAATATTCGGTTGCTGATACTTTTAATAGCATGAAATAGAGGAAAGAACCTCTATAGGAAGGTAGATGTTTTCGTCGCTAATCCTTCCTCTGCTATTACCTTGTTGTAGCAGAATTTTTTTTAATGATTAAATGAGGTCAGCATAAATATTTAACAAGCATAAATATTTTAATAAATCTAATGTCTGTTATAAATGAGAGGCATTGTTTATTATTAATTAGTAGAATGAATACAAATAAAGCATGAAGTAAAACTGATATAATTTTCCTCTAAACCTCAAATGGTGGTGTAATAAGCCAATGTTTAATGTATTTATTTGAAGATTATAAACCATTTGTTTACTTCACTTATATACTGCTCATCTACACTGAAATGATGTCATATCCAGTTAAAGTTGTGTGGGTTTTTTAAATTAAAAAAATTAATACAAATATGATCAAATGAGCAGAACATAAAGTTTTTATGCACTTGAGTTTGGCTGCATGAACCTTTTCTGTTATACAAACATGTAAGTTATTTACTTAAAAAATTGACATATAAATATTGATGACCTCCCTTGAAAATACAGAAGTATAATTCTAAATTACACTACAAATAGAAGGTATGGGATTGAGTCCTGCCTCCGCCACTGCTCAATTTATTTAGCTCCTCTAGGCCTCAGTTTTCTTAGCAATAAAATGGAGGAAAAAATTCTCCTATTTTCCCCATCCACCTGACGGATTGTCCTGGAGATCAAGTGAGATAATGTATGGCAGTCCTTTATAAGATGTAAAATCCATTACAGGACATTAGAAGTTATTTTGCATATGGCAGTGGGTTCTCATTGGCACACGTGGGCTGAAAACTGTTTCCCTTTGTTGCAGACAAGCAGAATGATGTGGAGATTCCATCACCCACCCAGAAGGACAGAGAGAAAAAGAAAAAGCAACAGCTCATGACGCAGATAAGCGGAGTGAAAAAACTGATGCACAGTTCAAGCTTAAACAATACAAGCATCTCACGCTTTGGAGTCAACACAGAAAATGAAGATCATCTGGCCAAGGTATGCATGAGCTGGGGGTGTATGTAGTTCTCTGCTCTCCAGCAGGCGGCTGCCCAAAACTATCTACTAGAAAATAGCAGTGATCATGTTGGCTTTGTTATTAAATTGGATGATAAGAAGGCTGGTGTGGCCTCTTTGTCCATTGCTGGGCACCTAATTCAAGACCCTTTTTCTACAACAAAGGACCTTTTATTTTTTTAATTCTGAGCTGGATTTGTAAATGGAAGTTCCTCATGATTGAGAATCCTACAAGACACACAGGGAGAATCCATAGGGAGGCCGCAGACAGGATTGAATTGTCCTAGAGGACCGATCTAGGACTATATGCCAAGGACTAGTTGAAGAATCTGCACTGATTGGCAGGGCCAGAGAAGAAATGAGAAAGATTGATAGCACTGACTCAGAGCCCAAACCCCACTGTGGAGGAAGGCACAGAAAGAATTCATCCGTCCCCCAGTGGGGCGCCTAAGGTGACCCCAAGCTCATCTTGGCCTTGTGACACTAGGTGATGACCTTGCTGTGAGCAAACAGACATTCAGTGAGACTTTCTGAGAGATACCATTACAGCAAGGTTGATCTCACATTGGGGCAAGCCCCTGGGGAGAGCCTGGATCCCTTATTCTGGGCAAGAATTCAGAATGAATAAATTACTCCTTTAATCATAATCTTGGGATAATCCCACAACACAGGACTGAATAATGTTTCTCCCAGATCTATGTGTAGCCCAAGAGCTCTAAGATGGAATAATCCGCGGTTGGCGTTTTTCATGACCTTTTACGTTAAAGTCAGGTTAACTTCTGCACATTCTAGCAGCTGACTCTCCCGTACCTGGCCCTTTGTGATAATAACCAAAGGGCAAAGCAGTTCCCCTGAGATGGTTTTTTAGCTGTTACTAATGGGCCAGTGATCAGTGAAGAGGAGAGACAGGGAAATGGAGCCAGAGGGACTTCTAGCCACTTGCAGCTACCTCTGAATACAGCTTGGTTGAGGACTGATGTGGCAAATACAGGTCAACAACTAATCTGTAAATTAGACACACACTCTCCTTTTTCTGAAAAAATATACAGAAACATGTAACTAAAATGTAGAGGGCACCCAACCTCCTAGGCCATTCCATCTTCAAATCTTCATGCAACTAGAATACTCTAAATAGACACTCTAAAGACTTAGCCAACCATTGTCCAAAAACTAAATAAAAATAATGACATATGCTGATAAAACTGTACTTATTCCTAAATTCCTCTAATTTTGATTATAGGAGCTGGAAGATCTGAACAAATGGGGCCTTAACATCTTCAATGTGGCTGGATATTCACACAATAGGCCCCTCACATGCATCATGTATGCCATATTCCAGGTAAGTAAAAAGGAGAGAGTATTGCTCATTCAATTAGATGGCTCTTAATGATTTTTTTTTCCATCCCAGTTTACTTTGACTTTTCTTCATTTTTGGACATCCACTTATTTATTTTCTAATCCATTTTACTACATAGGAAAGAGACCTCCTAAAGACATTCAAAATCTCATCTGATACATTTGTAACCTACATGATGACTTTAGAAGACCATTACCATTCTGATGTGGCGTATCATAACAGCCTACATGCTGCTGATGTAGCCCAGTCAACCCATGTTCTTCTTTCTACGCCAGCATTAGATGTGAGTAGTTGTGATCTGTTTTGCATAACTGCCCATCCTCTTTAAAATACAAGCTATCCAACATGTAATATATTTACAGAAATAATTGCACCTGCTTGAACTGGTTCTTTATTATGTATAACATCTATTAATTGGGTTACTAATAACAACAAAAGGCATTTCTACTCTGCTTCCCAATATCAGCGTAACCCTCTCTTTACATCTCTCACAACTGAAAAATTATTTAATTGTTAAGCAATTAACAGGGTGCTTTATTTTTTATTGTATCTCCAGTATCTGATAAGTGTCCAGTTCATCATCTAGTATGTAGTATATCCCCAATATGCATGTACTGATCTGAATTGCCCACACCATCCCAAGCACTGTGAGAGATAACACAGAAATATAATATAAAATGTCCTACATTGTTCCTGTTAGGTATAAGCATCCACAGACTTATCCTCCTAAGAATTCATAAAGTCGATTCTATGAGCTTTTTGAAGAAAAAGTAACTGAATATCTAGAAGCGAGGATTTAATAATGCTGAAGCAAAGAGTACCAGTGTTCCCTTTTGCTAGACATCTTGCTAGACCGTGGCTGTGGCTCCTTTCTTCGTAGATTAATGCATTTTCATACCCCAACATTAGCAGCAGTGTGCCCAGCAGGCCATGATCTTCCTTGACAAACAGCAATGGTAGTCAGATACCTCTAAACCGTGCAGGCTCACTGCAGGAGGGGACTTGCCAACTCCTGTCCAGCCCTACCTACCGTGACAGATTCGGTTTGGAAGGTGAAGAAAGATTAAACTGACTACAAGTCTATTGCTTGGGTTCCATATTTCCTGAGAAAAGAAATCCAAGAAAACTTGGGGAAGTGACATAGAGCTAAGATTGTTTTATCCCCTAAAGGAGAGAAATAGTATTATTTTTATGTTCTATATAAATTATAGGATTATAGAGTGGGCCAACACGGTTTATCAACTACCCACTGTTATTGATAGGATACCTATTGTGTAGCCAGAAATTGACCACAGGGACCACACATGCTTAGAGAAGGAAGAGCTCAGTGGGTCTTTGAGCAATTAGTCTTCATGGAAGAGGTGGAAGCTGAGCTGGCATTTGCAGGATCAGAAGATTTAAGTAATCACAGAGGATGAGGAAAGATATTTCAGCCAGAGCAAGACCATTTAGTCAGAAGGAATATATACGTGCACAAATAGTAGGTTTAAATTATTGTGTACAAGTCAGGGCGGAGGAGGCTTCAAAACATGGCATGAAGGAGTAGAGCAGTGGGGCATTCAGTTTTACTTCTTAAAATGTTCTCAGATCTTGCCCGTAGTAAACAATTACTGGATAAGAATTGAAGGAACGGATGGAAGAATGAGTGAATATATGAAAGCATCTGATCTCACTACAAATTTAGCTTTGGGAAATAACTTATTGCCAATCTTATGAGTTTAGAATTTAGCCTTTCTTCTGTAAGTTACTGAGCCTGAAAACATGAAGGTTGTTATATGTCAGAGCAGAGCCAGTCTGACTTGCTTCTTTGACTTCTGTGTGCTTGTGTTACATAAGCACCATTCTGCCCTACCACTTATCCAAGAAACAAACATCAGACCCCATCTGAAGCATGGTGCTAAGGCCTTCCTACAGGCTTGATGTGGGTATGGGCTTCAGCCATTTTTCCTTTCACATGATGATGAATAGAATCTACATTTATTTAATGTATTGAGACATTACATAAATCAGCAGACAGTCCTTCTCCCAGCAAGAGTGAAATGCATACTTTAATATGAAGCTGAATAAGCAGGATACAGGCCAATGGGATACAGAGTTAAATGTGCTCGTTTCGCTCTGCAGGCTGTCTTCACAGATTTGGAAATTCTGGCCGCCATTTTCGCAGCTGCTATCCATGATGTTGATCACCCTGGAGTCTCCAACCAGTTTCTCATCAACACAAGTGAGTTCACTACTAGAACAGTCACTTGAGATGATTGTATGATTCATTGCTTCATTTTTCCCCCTAATGTTTTCATTATGGATGACAATAAGGGTAATAATGAGGTAATCCTCCATTCCACTCAAGCCAGTCAGACCTTTCCTGGGTACTGTGTCCAGTCCGGCAACACAATTTTTGAGCTGCGTGGAGAACTTGGAAAGGGTCAGAGGGGAGCCATAAAAAGTACTCAACATTTGGAAAATACAATACGTGAGGAAAGAGTAACAGATGTGGAATTATTCAGTAAGGACAAGGAAAGGCTTGGGGATAATTTGATAATGATTTTCAGTGTTATGCAGGGCTCTCACATAGAATATGGTGACCCACTAGCGTCCCTCTCTACTGAGGAAGCAGGCCCAAATATTGTGTCTGAGCATGGGAACCTCTAAACAGAAATAAAACTAAAAGGAAGCACTGGAATGCTTGGTTTGTAGTAGTGAAGATGAACCCAGTGACATTTAAGGCTGGTCCAGCCTTAAGACCTCAAGCTGTACTCAGTGCTTTTGTCATGCTGAAAATACTTAGTATCCATGGCAGTGAAAATCCATGAATTTGGGGCACTTGGGTGGATTGGTTGGTTAAATGTCCAACTCTTGATTTCAGCTCAGGTCATGATCTCACGGTTCATGAGATCGAGCCCCACGTAGGGCTCTGTGCTGACAGTGCAGTGCCTGCTTGGGATTCTCTCTCCCTCTCTCTCTGCCCCTCCCCTGCTCATGCTTGAACCCTCTCTCAAAATAAATAAATCCTAAAAAATAAAATAAAATCCATGAATTTTCTCAGCTAGCGCACTGTTTCTAAATGCTAAAAATGCAAGTACTTTTTCTTCTGAGAATATTGGTTATCTAGTTGTGGTCATAATTAACATCAAGTGTTGATGGTTTTATAGGAATGTTTGAGCTACTTACTATGTAAGAGTCTCTGTCCTACTTTATCAGAATATCTGGATGATCTAGGTGTAGGGTAGATTCCTTATTTAACCTTGTTCTTCTACTGAAAGAATATAAACTTTGGGCAACTACTTGGCTGCTGGATTGTATCAGCTGGCATAATGTGGTGTCACAAATCAAACTGTATACGGGCCAGTTAGCTTCACACAGAAAAGTGGTCTTTCTGTTACAGCCACCTACAACACTAGAGCCCACAAAGCCAGTTTGCAGATCTGGGATTGATCACAGGGTGAACAGGGCAGAAATGCTAAAATGACCTCATATATCCTACAGTCCATTCTGAGACTGTAAGGCAAAGCACACAGTTAAAGCAATGGTATATGAGTGACCACATCTGCAATTAGGAACCTATTGCCATCACTTGGCTATTATTCTTTATTAAGAGAAAATGTTCCTTTCAGAATTTGTTGACCATATTCTCCAGTGCAGACCAGGTCTCTGCCTAATGAAAGATGTCTATGACTCTTCTGCATGAAAGGCAGTCTGGAAGCTATAGTTTAGGTATGCAGATCTTGCCATTTCTGAGATATAGGGCCAGAGGACAGAAAATCTGACATCAAAATTGTTCTTAAAAATTATTAATGTTTTGTTACCATGTTTGTAGAAAGTTCCAAAAAAGCTAAATTATTTGGATAAAACAAAATTCCACACTCACACTATTAACATCTTTGAAAATCAAAAACTCGCAATTGACAGAACTGGGGAACCTACAAGAAAGTGAGATAGTTTGAAAATCCTAATGCATTTGATAAAGTTTAGTAGCATTTTCAGTTTATTCTTTTCCAAAGCAAAAAAGTGTGTGAAGACATAAAGGAAACTACAAACTGAGATAAAAATATGCCCTTACCTAATGTTGAATTCTTCATCTGGAGTGAAGAAGGAGAAAAAGAATTTAAAATACCATGAATTTTAGTCAAAGAGAAAGCTTACGCACCAGTATCGATGACAAGCATGATTTGCTTGGGAGTGGACTACTACCTTTTGGAGGAGGAAACTGTGTCTCTGATGAGAAATGATATGTGAATCTTGGTTCCTAACATCTGGAGAGAACTAAATCTGATTTCACACTGAAGTAATGCCAACATTGGAATTATACCCCTTTGTTCTTAAGTCATCCTTTTTCCTTGTTTATTAGATTCAGAACTTGCTTTGATGTATAATGATGAATCTGTGTTGGAAAACCATCACCTTGCCGTGGGTTTCAAACTGCTGCAAGAAGAACACTGTGATATCTTCCAGAATCTCACCAAGAAGCAACGCCAGACACTCAGGAAAATGGTTATCGACATGGTAAGACTTCCTTTCTACATCCCTCACTTACTTTTCCCTGCCAAGGACAGGAAACTCCATTCTCTTCAATGAACTGAGTTTATTGAGAGTTTCATTTTATTTCTACCCTAGGTGTTAGCAACTGATATGTCCAAACATATGAGCCTGCTGGCAGACCTGAAAACAATGGTGGAAACAAAGAAAGTTACAAGTTCAGGTGTTCTTCTCCTGGACAACTACACGGATCGTATACAGGTATTTGATGAAAGCCTTTGATTTAACACAAAGCCAAACCAAACTAAATTAAACAATTAAAAAATGAAACCAAACGTCAGTTCAGTTAGTCGCATATCTGGTTATTATTGCAACTTGGACTTACTTTAAGAACAAGGAAAATGGACATTCAAGCGTATCCTCTAATTTATGAAGAAAAACATAACGCTATTTATTGAATTTCTTAGTTCTAAAAATAAATGGCAAAATTCATTTGTAATAGGGGATACGTGACTGCTGGGCCCAAAAGCTTGTGTTTGGATATAAATCCCATTGACTTGAAGATTGTTAGGTCTGTTTTGATTATACAAACTGCCATCAGCTGGTCTCTTTCCACAAGTGGAAAATATGAAGACATCTACTTTTGAGTAATTCTTCGCATTTTTTCCAAACTGGGGAAGGGAAATGATGGCAGCATTTGACCTCTAATGTCCCTTCCAGTTTTTACATTCAATGACTATCAGTCTGAGAAGACACACATTTTCCCTTTCAGGACTCCTGTGATGGTAAATAACCAAGTCTGGCCAGCACCATTGTAGGACTGCTTTTTTGGTGTACTCACCACAATTATAAGGCAACTACAGTGTTCTTGGGTTGGGTACCAAGTGTACTAGTACAAGAGGAACGAGATGTTCTGGTAGTATTTACACCTGATTTTCTGGGATTTCTAAAACTTGATGATTTCAGGTCCTTCGCAACATGGTACACTGTGCAGACCTAAGCAACCCCACCAAGTCCTTGGAATTATATCGGCAGTGGACAGACCGCATCATGGAGGAGTTCTTCCAGCAGGGAGACAAAGAGCGGGAGAGGGGAATGGAGATTAGCCCAATGTGTGATAAGCACACAGCTTCTGTGGAAAAATCCCAGGTATCTAATATGCAATTTTCGAAGTTTCTGTGAGCTCTGCAGATTGTAGAACTGGAAGGTTCTATCAAATTCCTGAAGCTATAAGGAAGGAACTACCCATTTAGTTCCATTTTACTCGTGATTCATTTGCCTTCTCCATTATACTCAGTTTCACAGGGTGGAAGCAAAGCAGTCCTCAGAAACCCGTCAAAGTGTGGTCTGTGTATCCTCAAGCAGTTTAGGGAGTTGTCTATGACCTGAACTCAGAGCTACTCAGAGCTACTACCTCCCCACACCCATCTCTCCAGATTTCTCTTACCCCTATCCTTATCCAAGAGCTCTACCCTTCATCCTTGCTTCCCCCACCCTGGGTCTGCTGCCCCTCCATGATCAAGTGCACTGCCAAGTGTGGATTTCATTCCACACACCTCTTCCACCTCACAGTCGACGCCCTGTCCTGTGTCCCCTTCCAAGGTTGCTTCTCCACATCTGAGAACATGTTGACATCTTCTGATCATGTCTAGAGCTACAGATTCCCTATGTGCTGAGGACTAGGGACAATATGCTGGAGTCTAGAGGATGCAGAAATGCCTCAGATACCTCTAGCTGCAGAGTATATAGCACTAGAAGTATCGATATCCCCACAAAGGCTTCAGGACCTGCTGAAATGTTGTGTTTTTCAGAGCAACAAATGACCTGAGCAAGGTAGTCATGATTGAGAATAGGTCTATAGGCTATTCAAGGTCTTTATCACAAAAACATTAGGAGGGCTTTTTGTTAGTGTGTATCCTCTTTCTCCACTATCTGCCACCCCCCAATTTACACATACTTGTAATATCGATGCAGAGTTCCCTTGTAATTATTATTTTGCTGTTTCTTAAAGAAACCCAGTCAAATGAGTTTAATATCTGTGAACGTGCTCTAAAAGGCTAATATACTCTAAAAATGCACGGTAATATTAACTTATCAGGGCCAATTCAAATCCCCTAAAGCCTTAATTAGAATAATGAATTAATTAACTAGAATAATGCCTGTTTATTATCAACAGTGGTGTTTTATATTTTTATGGTGTTCCATGTGATTTTCTACACATTTCCCCCTACGTGGTCCTATTTGAACCTCCAAACAGCTTTGTGAGATAGAGCAGCTATTTTCCCAGTGTATCAGGTGGAGAAGCTGTCCCCTGGCTCATTTCACCAGCTCTTTAGTGACCCAGCTACCCTCCACCCAGAGCTCTTTACTCTCCATCACTGTAGACAAGTCTCCCTGTTGCCATGACATCAAGGCCCACTCTGGTGTTTCCCACAGATGAGCTCTAGCAAGCATTGTCTGAGTAGTCTGGCAATAAAGCCCTTGACTAGGTGCTCTTAGGATTTGTAGAGCTCTCTCTGACCCAGGGCCTAGGAAATAAGTGGCTAGAAGCTAGCTTTCAAAAAAAGTGCCAATCATTTAGCAGAAGCAAAACAAATGAAGAAAGGAAATGACCGCACTGCATTTAGCTGATTCCATTTTCTCCATTGCCTTGAGCTTATTTTTTCAGGTCCCTGGAAAACACCTTGAAAATAGTCTCTAAAATTCATTAAATACAAATAATGAAGTAAAAGGGAGTGAGTGGAAGCAAGAGAAATAACTGAATCATCTGCACACAAGTTCACGTAACTAATGCAGATCAGAGATGTCCCAACTTTGGTGTGAGTTATGTTAAGATTAGGGAAGCACCAGGGAGGAAGAGGAGACAGATAGGTCGATAGATAGATGATAGATAATGATAGATAGATAGGTAGATAGATAGATAGATAGATAAAAGTTGATAGATATAAATAATAGGTACATATAGATACAAAAGAGTCACATAGGAACTGTGATCTCTGAGATGATTTGCCAAAAAACAGAATGCTGTTAAAGGAAAGGTTTCCAGTAGTGTGGAAAGATAGCTATATCATGTCCCATGGGCACGTAGAAGTTGCTCTTGCTCATTTACCTCGGAATCTGGACCCAGCATCTCTCCAGTTCCCCAGACCAGGACAGGGGAATTCCATTCCCTCATTCAACTTGTGCCTATTCTTTCTCACAACCTGCCCCCACCCCTAGTGTTTCCTGTTTGTCCGACAATGGAGAGGTCAGCATAAGGCCACTGAGCCAGCTCATGCAGGATGCATAGCCCCTGTGTAAACCATAACAGAGCCATAGCCTCATATTTATTCACAGGAACACTAGCAAAGGAACTGCTTAATTGTTTTTATTTTCCCTCCTTTCTCCTGATGGAAGTGACTATACCCTGTGGGATCTAAGACAATTGCAGACATGTCCACAGAGGGGATCTTTGTTTGTTTAGGGTCTTGAAGTATCTTCAGATGTTTTACCATACTCGTCTACAAACAAGAGCCTTCCACTCTGAGAAATTTCAGAGTAGTCAGGGGCTGTCTCCCCTTCCTTTTGGAATAGCGGCATATTTTAAATTTATAAGGAAAAGAATGTCGAGTCAGAACTCATAAGACCTGGAGCTTCCTTCTTTGTGGAATGACTCACAGAATCCAAGTAGTGACAAAGTCATTCCCAGTCAGGGTTACATCCAGACTTCTTATCTGGCACACGTGAAAGGAAAAGTAGTCAGTTATAGTGAGACAAACACAGGCTCTAGGATCAGACAAAACTGGGCCTAAGTTCCAGCTCCACTGCTTAAGCTAAGTTCCAGCTCCTCCAGGCTCTGTGATCTCTGACAAGATATTTCATCTCAATGAGTGTTAGTTTCCTCCTTTGTAAACTGCGGGTAACAGTACTTCCTCTGTGGACTTAAGAGCGATAACTTGGATATTAGATCCAGGGGAGGGTGTATCATGTAGTATATACTGAAATACAGAATCCATTATTATTGATCCCCCTTGGGTTGTTGTGGCTCTTTATTTACCTAGAAACCAGGATAGTTTGTTAGGTTTTCAAGAGTCCATCACAATAACTGGGGTGTAACTTTATTTTCTTCCAGGTTGGTTTCATTGACTACATTGTCCATCCACTCTGGGAGACCTGGGCAGATCTGGTGCAGCCTGATGCCCAGGACATTCTGGACACGTTAGAAGATAATAGAAACTGGTATCAGAGCATGATACCACAGAGTCCCTCCCCACCACTGGACGAGCAGAACAGAGACTGTCAGGGTCTGATGGAGAAGTTTCAATTTGAACTGACCCTTGAAGAGGAGGATTCCGAAGGCCCAGAAAAAGACGGAGAGGGTCACGACTATTTCAGCAGCCCAAAGACACTTTGTGTGATTGATCCTGAACATAGGGATTCACTAGGAGGGACTGATGTAGACATTGTGACAGAAGACAAGTCCCCTATCGACACATAATTGCCTTCTCCGTGTGGAGATGAACATTCCACCTTTGACAAGCATGCCAGCTGTATGGTAGGGCCAGCCCATCACAGGGGCCTGGGCCTGCACGGGACAAGGGCCATGTGGCCTTTCCAGTTACTTGAGTTTGGAGCCAGAATGCGAGACCATGAAGCAGATAGCAGTTCAGAAAATTCCACGGCTGACTTGCCTTGCCTGCAAGCTTAGTGGAGAGCTGAAGCTTTATCTGGTACTGGAGGCCAAGATCAGATCCTGAGTAAATGGCTTGAAAATAGAAGACACAAAACTGAGAGATTTTTCTGCACTAAGTTTTGGGAATCTGTCCCCTCTAGTGACTGAACTGACTGATTAATAACTTCATTTATAAATCTGCTCACCTGTCCCCTTGTCTGCCAACCTGTGTGCCTTTTTTGTAAAACATTTTCACGTCTTTAAAATGCCTGTTGAATACCTAGGGTTTAGTATCAACTTCTACACAGATAAGCGTTCAAAGTGGACATAAACTTTTTTGACTCTTTCTGGGGAAAAAAAAAAAAAAGGAAAGCAAATGGTCTTCCTTCTTTCTTGGGCAATATCTTTCACTTTCCTACAGTTACTTTTGCAAATAGAAAGGACACGCTTCTAACCACATTCTACTTCCTTCCCTTATTGTCCCATCCAGCTTGACGGTTGCCCGTATAACTTATCTCTGTTTGCCTGCTTACAGCAGTATTTTTTCTCCTCTTAGAACTTCACTTCTTGTGCTGCAAACAGAATAAAGTGAGCAAACTAAGAGGTAGGAAAGGGTAATTGTGTTGTTCACAGTAACAGTCTGTGTAAAATTCAGCTCCATTAGGCAGCGCACCATGTTATGTCCTGAACCCCTGGGCCGCTGGGTGCTGCACGGTCCCCATCCTATCCCCTCCCCCCATCAGTCTCCACCCAGTTACCCTGTTTTCAATTGGATGCTGCCGTCTTTCTCTTGCACTGCCTTCTGCGCTAACACCTCCATTTCTGTTTATAACAGTATATTTATTACTTAATGTATATAATGTAATGTTTTGTAAGTTATTAATTTATATATCTAACATTGCCTGCCAATGGTGGTGTTACATTTGTGTAGAAAACTCTGCCTAAGAGTTGCGACTTTTCTTGTCACGTTTTTGTATTGTGTATTATATAACCTGGACATCGCTTAAGAGAGACATACGACCCCTTCCCCAGTGAGGACATTCGTGGGCTTTTATTCAGAAGGTCTGCCCTCTTCCCCATCTGAGTTGCTAATACTGCACAACCCCTTTGTGAACCAGTTTTGGAAACAGGATTCTCACGTTAGATACTAAATGGTTTATACTGAGCTTTTACTTTTGTATAGTTTGATAGGGGTAGGGGGCAATGGGATGTAGTTTTCACCCATGTTCTATCCAAATCTGTGTATGCATGAATTGGGTTATAACTGGGTTCTACTATAATTGTGGCTTTGGTTTAAACAGTAACACTACATTTGCTCGCAGGTGGTTCTTCTGAGTGTTCCCAAACTACTGACTTTGAAAGCCTCTTGCCTGCCATTAAGCAGGAATGTCATGTTCCCATTAATTACAAAAAAAACACAATAAAACAATGTGAATTTTATAATAAAATGTGAACTGATGTAGTAAATTATGCAAATGTGAAGCTTCCGATAACACTTGTTAGGCCTCATACTGACTTCAGTCTCCGTGTGTAAAATATATTTCATGCTTTCAGTTCCGCATTGTAACTCACTAGTTAAAGAAATGGCACAAACGTGCATGACCGATGGGTTTGTATGTCTATGAACACTGCATTTTTTCAGGTGGACATTTTATTGTTTTCAAAAGTTTCTCACAATGTATGTTATAATAGTATTATTATTATTATTATATATTGTGCTCAAATGCATTCGTAAGAGACTTTTATATGAAAGTGAATAAACAAAAGCATGATTAGATTAGACTATAGGCCCAATTATTTTGTGGTTAGTTCTGACCTATTAAAAGCAGATCTTTTTTTCTCTTCTCTCCTACCATACCCCACGAAGAAAAACAACTACTTTGCCTGGCCAACCCCGCAACTGAAGTTTCAGAATCTGTGTCCAAAAAGTCCCCTAGCTTGGAACGTTTCACGTTTTCTTAGCAAATATCCATGCAGCTCAATGATGCGGGAAGGGAGGTGGTAAAGAAAACAAACAAAACCACTTTAAGAATCTGAAGAGTTTAATCCACTAGATGAATAAAGGGACTCTCCAGCTTGGCTGGGTCCTCCAGAAAAATGAATCATGGAACCAGAGAACATTAGCTTCATGTCATCAGATGGTCCCACTGATTCATTTGACGAAGAATCTGAGGTCCAAAGGGTCATCTTCAAGCACCATTGACAGAGTACTGGTTGACTCTCAGTGGTCTTTTCGACCATTCATGGAGTCTCCTATTGGTCATATGGTTATGTTTTTCTTTATGGAAAGAGCTATATAAATAGCATAGGCAAAAATACGTAAACACTTTGTTGAAATTTTAAAATCAGCTTTAAAAAAATTTTACCCTGGGATGCCTGGGTGGCTCAGTTGGTTAAGCGTCTGACTTTGGCTTAGGTCATGATCTCATGGCTTGTGGGTTAAGCCCTGTGTCCAGCTCTGTGCTAACAGCTCAGAGCCTGGAGCCTGCTTCGGATTCTGTGTCTCCTTCTCTCTCTGCCCCTCCCCTGGTCATGCCCCCCCCCCCGTCTTTCAAAAATAAATAAACATTAAAAAAATTTATCCTAAGAAGTGTGTGTGTGTGTGTGTATGGTAAGGAAGGCCACAAATAGGAATCAGTGGATAACGCATAATATTTTAACCACAGGGAACTGGCTTGTGAACAAGTAAATGGATCTGTCTAGAAGCATTCCACTCAATAACCTGAAATTAGTGAATTTCTTTACAAAGACAAGACACGCCAACATTGCAGAACCAGTCTGCCAGGTTGCAGAGCTAATGTGCATAGCACTTAGCTACCATCCCTGATTTCTGATTCCATCGCCATCATCTCTGAGCTCTTACAGATTAAGTGACAAAGTGAATAGGTTAGCATAGTCACAGGTGTGACTTCTATAATGTTTATAGCTATAAATATTTATAAATATGCACAGGCATGTTTTCTACAGAGAAATGGGTTTTAATCCTTGCCGTAAATGAGAATCACTTGGGGAATACTTTTTTTTTTTTTTTTTTTTTTTTTTACTATTAATGTTTGGGCCTCACCCACACTCCCAGATTCTGTTTGAACTGGTCTTGAGTACAGCCTGGGCACCAGATTTTTCTGATTCTCCCAGGTAATCATAATATGCAATCTAAGTAGAGAGCCACTGCTCCTGAAGAGAGGGCCACGCTTGTGTCTAAAGCTTTTTGTCAGTCTGTTCAAGGTGCTATAATAAAGCACCACAGACTGGGTGAATGAACAACAGAAGTTTATTTCTCACAGTTCTGGAGGCTGGTCCAAGATTAAGGTGCCAGCATAGTTAGGTTCTGGTAAGGGCCCCCTTCCTGCATCATAGCTGCTACCTTCTTGCTGTGTCCTCACTTGATAGAGAGGGCTACAGATCTCTCTGGACCCTTTTATTATTATAAGGGCACTAATCCCATCACGGGCCCCACCCTCATGACTTAAGCACCTCCCAAAGTCCTCACCTCCTAATACCATCATCTTTGGGAGTTAGGATTTCAACAGATAAATTTGGGGGGAGGGGCAGACACAAACATCCAGGCCATAGCAACTTTCTTTGACTGCAACTATCTTCAGATACTGTGCATCCACCATGGCCAGATGCCAGGTCAGGGACATAGATGAGACCAGGCATCAGAGATGAGTTACACAGAGCTCTACATTCCAGGAGCTTGCAGTCGGCTATGTTGCTCACCATCTGCCGTGCGGAACACAAAATCATAATTATGTTCTCAGGAAAACCACAATGAAGATAAATCTAAAAGAAAGTTAATCATCTGGTTCTAGAACATAGATAATAAATGTAACCATTCTCTTATCTATGATGGCATATCAGTGTTCCTGATTGCAGGGAGCAACTGCGAAGCAGAAATTACTATGGCATCTTTGCCAAGGCTGAGGGTGATACCTTAGTACTTACCAAAATGTGTAGGCCAATTTATAGAGTCAGGAACTGTCAGAGTTCCACAGCGTGGCCTTCCCTTGGTATTTTCCCACAGGCTTATTGTGACATGTGTTGGAAGTCATGGAAATTCTCAGTCCACTGAAGGAAGCCTAATGGAGTTCAAGTGAAAAAGTGTGGTTTATTTCATGGATTCTGGAGCCAAGTGGCCTGGGTTTAAATCCTAACTCCTCCATTTACTAGCCACACAATCTTAGACAAGTCACCTACTCTCTGGGTTTCAGTAAAATGGGGATTATTCATTTGTCAGGTGGGGGGTAATAATTCCAGGACTTTCCCACCATTCCATTGCTACTTCTCTGAGTGCATGTCTTAGTTATTGATCAAATCAATGATCATGAGCCTTAAAACCTGTGAAATCAAGGTAAGGCAGGAAGACTGGCAAATTCCCTTTATAAACCCAACATTAATGCATCCTGTACCCCTTAAAAAGGATTCATCAAGCTGGTTATCTCCCACATTCTTCAAGATTCACATCAGGTGCCCTCCTACAGGAAGCTTCTTTGATCCCTAAGGTTGGAATAAGGACTCTTGGGATGCAGAAGTTCCTAGAACATCCTGTGCTTTACCTGTGTAATTAGCTGTGTAACATTGAGCAAGTCACTTAACCCTCCTGTGCCTTAGCTTTATCATCTATAAAATAAAGATAAGAATAATACCTAGATTATAGTGGGTTATGCAAGAATTACATGAGTTGATATATATAAAAGTCTGAAATATAATTATGAAAACCTAACGCTACTAAAGTCAAGTTTTTCTCTTTTCTAAAAGACTGTAACTCAATGAAGTCAAAAGCTGGAGTTTATTCCCTGTTAAATTTCCAGCGTCTAATCCAATATCTGAAACAAATATGCTTTTGTCAAACTGTACTGAATCAAATGGTTTTATGCAAGGGTAAAATGCAACCTCATGCTTTTCAAACCAAAAAATAAGGTGTTGGTCTCTGAGTCCTGGAATGATAAAGCCATATAATTTCCTCAGAGATCATCTGGTCTACCCCTTTACTTTTATAAATAAAGAAACTGAGGCTTAGAGATGGCCAGTGACCCACCTGAGATCAGTGTATTAATGTTGTAGAGCCTCAGTAAACAAGTACTGAAAACCAGGGGTCTTAATGGAAATTTGTTGTCTCACAGTTCTGCAGGCTAGAAGTCCAAGGTTATGGTGGTGTCAGGGTCAATTCATTCTGAGAGCTATGAAAGACAATCTGTGTATGCCTCTCCCCTCACTTCTAGTAACTGGGGGAATCTGACATTCTTGGCTTGTAGATG